AGAAGGCTCTTTTCTCGGCGCCTGCCTGCACTTATGCCTGGTGCAGCTCCTTCGCAGCCCTCCTGCCAACCTGCTGCCGCCCGCTGCCCCGGAGGAGCCGCAGCCCAGCCGCACGCCCGGAGCCCGGCCCAGGGGAGCCCCCGCGGGCGCTGCCGTTCCCCCCGGTGCGGGGCCGCCGCCACGCACGGAGCAAGGTGGGCTCGGGGCCGCCGGTGCCCCCGGGGCGCTGCCGTGGTGCGCTTTCCATCCCGGGATCGCCTTTCAGCTCCGCGCGGGCGGAAAGCGAGACGAGACCTGAGCCGCTGCGGGGATGCCGAGAGGTTTCCCGGGGCTTTTCCCCGCGGGATGAGGGCACGGGGGGCACCGGGCACCGTCCTGCCCTGCAGCGGGGGATGCTCGGGGAGCTTTGTCCTTGTCCCCGACGCTCCCGAGCGCAGCGCCGCGCTGCCGGTGCTTCCAAAGGGGGCAGCTGGCAGCGGCTCCGCAGCGCCGGAGGCACAGCGGGGGCTGGGGGGGGGCTCTTGCGAAGTTGGAAGGAAAAAGGAATTTTGGTGCTGCCCGGCTGCTGCAGCCTGGAGCCCAGCCCGGCCCGCAGCCCCTCCAGCAGCGGGGCTGCGAGCGGCCGGGCAGAAAAGGGAATTTTCCGCGCTGTTTCTGCAGCTGCTCCCGCGGGAAGATCGTTTTGGGAGAGGGGTCAGGGATCCAGGATGGGGCCGGTGTGTTCCGCTTGTCCTGCAGAGTCTCTGCTCCTTGTCCCAAGGAGGCTGCAGGCAGGGTAGCGGTGCAAAGGGAAACTGAGGCACGGAGCTGGGCAGGGATCCGGCTCCCCCCACTCCTTCCCGCTCCCCGTGGGGGTGGGCTGGGCTTAGGGGCAAAGCTGCCCGGTCCCGGGGGCTGGGGCCGAGCCCAAGGTTTGGGATGGCTGCAGGGCACCGCCGGCGCTCCCTGTCCCCCCCAGCTCTCCCTGCTGCTGTCCCAGCGCGGGAGGCAGGAGGGGCCGGGGGAAATTGGTCAGGATTTCCCTGGCTTTTCCCAACCCATCAGCCCCACTGTGAACCCCAAATCCACGGGAGGGTGTCCCGGGGAGAGGGAATTTTCCTGCAGCCCTCTGCCCCACTGTGAACCCCAAATCCACGGGAGGGTATCCCGGGGAGAGGGAATTTTCCTGCAGCCCTCTGCCCCACTGTGAACCCCAAATCCACGGGAGGGTGTCCCGGGGAGAGGGAATTTTCCTGCAGCCCTCTGCCCCNCCGGGGAGAGGGAATTTTCCTGCAGCCCTCTGCCCCACTGTGAACCCCAAATCCACGGCAGGGTGTCCCGGGGAGAGGGAATTTTCCTGCAGCCCTCTTCCCCCGCCGCAGCCCGAGCATTTCGTCCCCAGGACGAAGGGGCTGCCCTTGAGCATCCCTGCCAGGGAGCTCTGCTCCCGTCACGCCGACTTCTCCAATCTCAGCCTAACCCAGAACCTGTTGCTCTTCCTTTTGGCCGCCCGGGGGGTGGGAGAATCCTCCCTCTGCCCAGCCTGGAGCCTTTTGCAGCTTCTGGGCTCGGGCACGGCAGGGAGAGGGTGAGCAGGGTATTTCAGGGAATGGCTTTAGACTGGGAAAACTGGGAGAAGGAGCGATGTTGTGCTGGGAGGGGGGAGATGCGAGTTTGGCAGCGGGGCTGGCTCCCACCCGAGCTGCGGTGCCGAAATCAGGGACCCCCACCCTCCAGCCCGCACTACTGCCCCACCTCGTGCCTCAGTTTCCCCGCCGGAGCCTGGGAAGGCGGGGATGGGTGTGCAAACCTTTCACGTGTGCGTGTGACACACTTACCCAGGGGCACACGTGCGGGTTCTGCTCCCCCCCCCGCTCCTCCGTGCGGGGCTGGATCTCCCCAGGGACCCTCCCCGCGCTCTCCCGGACCCCCCAGCAACAAGGAGCGCCTTTCTCCCCGCTCGGGGGGCGAGGGGCAGCTGCAGGGACCCCCCCTTGTCCCCAGCTGCTTCCGGCTCTGAGCTGTGCCAGCCGCCGCTGCCAGGAGCCCGCGGGCGCTCCCCGCGCATCCCTGAGCTGGCATCAGCCTGGCACGGCCCCGCTCCCCTCGGGGACCCCTCCGCGGCGGTGGGCACGGATTCCGGGGGGGCAGCGCCGCTTTGCAGCTCCGTGGGGACGGGCACGGAGCAGCCAGGAGCGAGCCGGGGCGGCAGCGGCGCGGCCAGAGCCCTTTGCGGGTGGGGACGGGCTTGGAGCGGGGCCAGGCCGGGCCGGAGGCTGCTGACTCATTCTGCAGCTCAGCATCCCTGGAAAGCCGCGGCTCTGCTCCCTCCTCCTCCTCCTCCAGCTCGCTGCGGGCTGCCAGGGCACCTTGGGAGCCGGCACGAGCAACCATCAGTGCGGGGAGAGCGGAGAAAAGGCCGCTCGCAGATGGAAAGGGACACATCTGCAGCCCAGATCCTGCAGGTGCCACGTCTCTGAAAGCAGGGCCGAGCTCAGGGGACAAAGGAAGAGCTGTCCCGTCCCAAAATAGATTTCAGCTCCGTTTTCCACCCGGTTTCGCACAGAAATGGAGGTTTGGTGGCCGTGCCACGTGCGTGCCCGTGTGTCTGTGTGATCCTCCTGAGCTCTCTGGGACAGCCGAGCTCAGCTGAGCTGCTGCCATTAAACCCATTCAACCTTTTTTGGCTGCTCTTCCCCGGCCCCGCTCTCAGCTTTTCCCTCAGAGCTTGTGGGTTGAAAGATTTTTCCATTTGAGGCGAAACAGGAAAAATAGCCGAGGCAAAAATCCAACCCCAAACCCCAAACTCGAGGTCTGAGAGCCTCTTGCCATGGTGGGGCTCGGGGAGCCGGGGCCATCAGCCGTGGGCAGGCTGCAGCTGGGTTTAACCCTTTCCACACCCCGTTCCAGTGCCAGCACACAGTCGGGGACGGGCACAGGAGGAGAGCGGGCACTCCAGCTTGCCCAATTCCTGGAATTTTATCACTTGGATTTCCTCCCCGGGACTTCAGGGCCGCTGTCCCCGCCACCACGGCGCCTTGGGGACGGGAAGAAAAGGTGCCAGTGACAAAAGCCTTCCTCGCTTGGCTGCCCAGGGGGTGGCACCAGCCCCCGGACTGGAGCCTGGCCACGGCTGCCACGCAGGAGGGTTTTGTCCCTCGCTCCAGAACCATGGGGCTGCATTCAAAATATCTGTCTGGAGCACAGAACGCTCCTGGCTCGGCCCTGGCACCACTGGCCAGCTCCTGGGCACCCCAGCTTTGGCTGCTCCTGTGGGAAGGGGAGGTTGGTGCTCTGCACTGGACGGTCGATGCCCACGGGGGGTGGTGCCAGGGGTGGGTTTTTGGGGTTAGGAGCTATACCTGCATCGTGCCTCGTGCTGTGGGCTACGCAGCCGTGATGTGTGGTGCCAGGGATGGACACCCGTGGTGCCAGGGGCTGCGTGTCCATGGTGTGTGGTGCCAGGGCTGTATGGCCTCGGCTCCAGGGACTGTGTGCCCACAGTGTGTGGTTCCAGGGCTGTACATCCATGGCTCCAGGATCTGTGTGCCCACAGTGTGATCTGCCAGAGCTGTATGGCCATGGCTCCAGGGGCTGTGTGCCCATGGTGTGTGGTGCCAGGGCTGTACATCCATGCCTCCAGGGGCTGTGTACCCTCGGTGTGCGGTGCCAGGGCTGTATGACCATGGCTCCAGGGGCTGTGTGTCCATGGTGTGTGGTGCCAGGGACTGTGTAGCCACGGTGTGTGGTACCAGGGCTGTATGACCATGGCTCCAGGGACTGTGTGCCCATGGTGTGTGGTGCCAGGGCTGTATGGCCATGCCTCCAGGGGCTGTGTACCCTCGGTGTGTGGTGCCAGGGCTGTACATCCATGGCTCCAGGGGCTGCCCATCCGTGGTAAATGGTGCTGGGCAGTGCCTGCACAGTGGGCGGTGCCAGGGCTGGAGTCACAGCCTCTCCCCGGAGCAGTGCTGCCCTGGGCACACTCTGGGAACACAGAGTGGCTTGAGCGGGCACACAGATGGCCAGGGCAGCATCCCGTCAGGCCGTCCCTGCAGCCTGGCCCGCGCTGCTCCTGTGGCTGCTGAGATCAATGCGGCACAAAGAGCTCATCCATTACAAACCGCTCCGAGTCCCGGGCTGCTCCGTGCCCAGGCACCCTGCATCCCTGGCACGGGGGGCTGGGGAGCCCCAGCAGCCTCCGCAGAGGGGTGAGGGGGCACTGGGGCAGTGCGCCTGGCAGGGACATTGCCCCACATTCCCAGCATCCGCCTCCTGGCTGGGCGCTGCCAGAGCAGCAAGGACACCCGGAGCCCCCCAGGATGTGCCTGTCACCCCCCGTGCTGCCCCGGGGAGGGCTGGCTGGTGGCAGCGCTGCCCGCTGGGCTCTGCTTTCAGCGCTGGTGCCCAGCCCGGCGGTGGGAGCCCTTTGTGCCCGGCAGGCTGAGCGAGGCCCGGGACATAATGGATGCTTTGGGCAGCGCTGCTTTTCCCAGCCCGCGCACCGGGAGCCTGCGGCGTGAGGCGAATGGCAAAGGAGCCGCGCTGCTCCTGCCTCCCCCTCTGCCCGGCCCCCCCCGCTCCCCCCCCCCCTCCCTGCGCAAGGCACCCCTGGCAGGGCACACGAGCGTGAGCACCCG